CTTTTTCCTTCTTTGCATCCTGCCTCCAGACAAGCCCCTTCAACCGGCCCATCCATCTCAATCCCTGTCGTCATAACTCTCTCCTTGACCTCATTTCATTATCATCCCTGCTGGTGGCAGACCCGAGTGGTGCCATTGCAATCAATGGCACAGTGACACCTTTGCTACCTCTCCTTTCGTGCAAGCTCCATCCTGACGTTAGGGAAGTATTTGGTACGCGGTGGCAGGAGCAGCCCTGAAGATGAGGCGCAACCCAGATTCTCCTGACGGTCCGAGGAGACGAAGCTGAGCGTGGGCAAGAGTGTAAAAGGAGAGTTTTTCTCCAGGCCGAACCAACGTGCTTGCTTCTGCCTTGTTCCCGGGGATGAGAACGGACAACTCTGGATGAAGGCGCTGGGGAATTAGGCAGACAAGGGTCTTTGGGTTAACCTGGTATCTTTTATTAGACCAACTCAGTTGGGGAATTAGCACCTTTTACAGTCAGGGGAGCGCCTAGCATCTGGGGAGGGCACTTCTGCCCAGCAGCCGCACCGACAACCGCTTTTAGCCAAGACAGCACAAATCCTGCAGCTGCTGAAGCAGAGTTTACCCAGTTCAGCTTCAGACTCGACTGCTGCCTGTTGCCCCTCATGCATTAGCTAATCAGACTTCCCATTGCAGGAGTTTTCCCAGTGAGCCGCCTTGCCCCACATATCTGCTTCATTAACAGCAGCTGCAAAAACCTGAATCTGCCTTAGTATTCCTCAGGGCCCCAGGGCAGAATCAAACCAGCCATCCCCCCCACACCTTCCCTTATATACCCCAGCAGTCGTCACTGCATCACATGATCCCATCACATGACACCCCTTCCACCTCTTTCCCTAACCAGGAAGGCAGAGTTACACCTGCTACAGGTGCAGCTGGCCCCTCTCTTAAAGGGCCAGCGCATTCCCTGACAGCTGCACGGCTGGGGCTTACGGGCATATCATAATACTACGTGCAGAGCAGATCAGAGGCCAAACATTTTTTCAGTACTTGACCAGTAACCCCCCTCCCCAACTCTGATGGATGTGCTCCGCTATAGTTTCATAGTTTCTAGGGTCAGAAGGGACCTGAGTAGATCATCTACTATAAGAGAGTAGAATTTGCCTCTGCTTATGTTTCAATGTTATGAAATGAAAATCTGTCAGTAGTGGCTTTGTCCTAATCTTAGCCAACTTGTGTGGAAGGCTATATATAGCTGCACATGACAGTCGCATTGAGTGTCTTCCGGGTTGGTTTTCTCTTTTGAAGATGATACGCAGTTTTGGCCATGCCTAATCAACAGGGCCAGCGGCTTTTTCTACGCAGTTTAGCAAAATGTTTTCAAAAGTAGGCACTGATTTTAGGAGCCTCGGATTTTTGGAGGCTCGACCCAAGAGACTGCAGGGCTGGGCCAAAGGTGCATGCTTCCAAGTGAAGCCGGTGGAAATGCTCAGCTTTTCTAAAGTCAGGCCCAAGGTGTCTTAGGTTAGACACCTGAGCAAATTAGTTCCTGATTCTTTGCAATTAGTGGGAGTTGAGAGGCCCCAGCTCCTCACAGACTGGTCCTTTACTGATGAATCCTAATAAATGATTTCTCGAAGCATTGCCAAGAGAGTGCTGCAGTACTGGTACCGGCATTATGGGAGAGGGAAGCTGAAGTATAGAGGGGTCACAAGTTTGCTCAGGCTTACACAGCGAGGCAAACAGTGAGGGGTGGGAATCACTGGAAAGTCTCATTAAGGCCCAAGATTTAGAAAAGGATTGAGCATGCATAAAGATAAGAGACATACCCACAGTTATCACAGTACAGATAATAAACACCAGCATTTGGGTAGGGATATAAATCCACTTGCTTCAGGTCAGAAACCAACCCTGAACTATTTGGGGACAGGAGGTAACTCCTCCTGGTGGCAGACTGTCCAAGGACTGTCCCGCAGGGTTTCTTGCTCTTCCTTGAAAGCAGCTGGTGTTGGGCACCGCTGGCAACAGGACATTGGACGAATGGGACCTCATGGTCCAGGTCAATCTGGCAGTTCCTATGTCACTGAGGTCTTCTGTCTCCCAACCCTGTGCTTGGACAAGCCCATCCTGCCTATAATGTAGCTGGCTAAAAACAGGCACCTCCCTGGGGCTCTATAACTGAACGGTGGCTTGTGCAATCTAGTTTTCAGAGACTTCAGCATTTTCAAAAAGGTCTTGGTTTCCTTTCTCTCTTTGTTATGAAATGTTGGGCTTCGCACAGGGTTCGCACGGGGAGTTGTTAGCATACCGAGCTCTCACACCCAGGCTGCAAGTGCCATCAAGTACCGACTGGAGCGGTTGTGCCTGCTTGCTTTTCCACTTGACACGCTGCTCTTGGTGCTCATCTAGTTTGCTTCAGATGCTTGCGACTGCAATTAGAAAGTGATGTTGAGTGAGCTGAAATTCCCTTTTCTCCTTCAAACTGCTCTCTGCATCCGGTTCTCTGTTTGTCTTGCGTTTAAAAAAACCCAACATATTGATTGACTCCCCCTTGCCATAGTCAATGGGACAAGAGTTGAATGCAGTGGTGTCACCCTTTGGGCATTTGCTTTGTTGCTTTAACATTATAGAAAATTCTTGTTCTCTGGAAGAGACTGGCTTTCAGGCAATCTCCTTTCATCCTGGGCACCGATCGCAGTTTAGTGCCGGACACACTGGAGGTTTTTGCCCTCTAGGTTTCCCTGCCTGTGGATCCCGCTAACCCCAGGATCGCCCCATTTTGTGTGCTTGCTTGAAGGGGGCTTCACAGCTCAGGCTTAATTTTGCTGTGCCTGAAACAGTTTACTCTCAGGCCTATACCCAAGTCACAAACCCTACTGACTGTTTCCTGCTGTGGTTTCCTGCCTTAGTAAAATGCCTCCTCTGCTCGGCCTGCTTTCCCTTCCTGTTCTCATCAGAAGGCCATTTCTGGGCTTGATGTAGATAACAAGCAAATAGGTAGAAAAAAAGAGCCGGTGGCCATAAATCCAGACCTTCGTACAGGCACCTCACTACTGTACTGTGGAGCAAAGCAGAGGAGACAGCAGAATGGTTTCCCTGGGCAATTTACCCTAGGCCACTTGTACGGGTGTACCGGACACAAAACCAACCCTTTCCTCACACTGCATACCTTCCTGCATGCTAAGTAGGACCTCGGGCAAAGCAGACATAGGTAGCCCCATTTTGAATGGTGGGTTTCTTCTGGTCTGCCCTTTAATACGGAACAGGCCTGCCCCTCGGTCAACCAAGAAGTCTGGCCATTTTTGCCATTTAACATGCCTGATAGACAGAAAGTTGCCAGAATGACACAGTGGGCCCCCAGTGGGGTCAGCCTGCTGGGTCATTGCTATGTCTGGAGGTGAAGGAGAGGACAAAGCCCTGTACACTGCTGAACCGGTGATGAGCAGGACCTGCCAAAGCAACCTAGAAAGTTGTGTTTCCATTACACATTTGCGGGAAGAGTGAAAGGGAAGAGCACACTCGGCTCTTACTGGGGGCAACATCTACTTTTTATCATCAAAGGTCAAACTCCAGGGACCTGATGAGCCCCCTTGAATTTGTTTGTGTTTCCATTAATCACCGGAAACGGGTTTCGGTTTGTGGGTGGGATTTAGACAATTTGATTCAAATACCAGCCACTCATTGCCAGGAGGGATTCTGCATTGACTCAGAAGACAACATTTCCTTTTGGGCTCTTACTAAGAGCGGACTCTACTGGAGCAGACGGTAGGTCCATTTCTGTTATTCCCCTTTGTTTAACCTTGGGGGTTCAAGTGACATTTGCAGAGTCTGTTTCAAAAGCAAGCGTGGAAATTTATGAAATTGAAGCTCCAAGGATGAGTCAACAGTTTCTCTAAGTTATAGGAGCTGTGACTCATGTACATACTCAGGAATATGTAGGGATTGCCAAACGGGATCAGATCACTGGCAGATGTCACGGACCATCTTTAGCAATGGTCATAGACAAATGCTTCAGAGGACAATTCAAGACATTTAGCAACAGAAAATTGGAAGAAAATTCCTCCTAACATCAGTCACATAGGGGTCGGCTTATAAAGGACTTATATTCCTTTATATCCCTATTAACTAAGAAAGTTCTGATTCCCTATGGAAATGTCTAATGGTTTTTCACATCCACCAAACTCTTGGCTTGAGCAGTATCTTGTGGCAGAGCTAATTAATCCATGCATTAAAAAAGCAAAAAAAAGGATCATAAATAGGGTTGGGCAGGAAGCAGTTTTCCCATCCTGTAGAGGTTTTTGTGACTTCAAAAATGTTCTCATCACATATGAACACAAACCCAAAGCTTTTCAAAGTGAAAAGCCAGGGACTCAGAATAGTGCACTGGCTTGAACACGGACCTGGGATTACAAAGTCCTAGCTTCCAGCGTCTGCCCTGATGATTCAAGCAAGCACTCGAATCTGAGTCTCTTGCATTTCAGGAACGTCTCCAACCCACCAGCTCATCATGGGGTGGGTCTCACTCAAGTTCTCCTGTTGGGGCTGTTCTGTTTTGCATACTTGATTAAATATGAATCGAGCCGGAGAAAGTGACTCCATAACTTAGTAGCTATGGCACTCACCTGGGATGCATGAGACCAAGGTTGATGTTCCTCATCTAATAACTAGATAATTATGTATACAGAGCAGAAGAGCTCCAGCTGGAGATGTGGGGGAAAGCCAACCCAGGAAGGCCAAAAGCATGCTTATTAAGGCACTAACCTGGAGTAGGATAGACGGATATTCAGATATCTCATCTCTCTTTGATTTGGATCAGAAATCCCACTCTTGTTGAAACAGGTCTGGGAAGTCTATAACATCTGAATTACGACAGATTGAGATTTTCAGACAAACCTGCTTCGCCAAGGCAGATGGATGGGTACACGGGTCGGGGCTCTGAATTTCACAGGGGTTTGCAGACGACATCCTCCCTTTACATGTGTCAGCATTGCCCTGCAAAGTCTTGCTGAGGGCTTCTGCTTCTTTCTCCTAGATCCAGCCCAAGCAGCGTATGAGCTGGTCCACGGAGTCCCAGTAAGCATTCGAGATGCCCGATGCAGCCGCCCACCTGCCCTTCTTCTTCGGCAGCATCTCCCGGTCGGAGGCTGAGGAGCACCTCAAGCTGGCCGGCATGGGGGATGGCCTCTTCTTGCTGCGCCAGTGCCTGCGCAGCCTGGGGGGCTACGTCCTCTCCATGGTGTTCAACCTACAGTTCTACCACTACCCCATTGAGCGGCAGATGAATGGCACCTATGCCATTGCGGGGGGCAAGGCGCACTGCGGGCCTGAGGAGCTCTGCGAATTCTACTCCAAGGATGCCGACGGGCTCTGCTGCACCCTCCGCAAGCCCTGCACCCGCCCCAGCGGCGTGGAGCCCGAGTCCGGCATCTTTGACAACATGAGGGACAACATGGTGCGCGAATACATCCGGCAGACCTGGAAACTGGAGGTACCAGCACTTCCCACGCACGCACTGTCCACGGTTGTATTCAGAGCCCCGCTGGCTGCACTCACCTTCTTGGCCTCTCTAACACCAGCGCTTCCCTAGTCCTCCACCCAGTCCCTTCACTGCTAGGGCAAGTGGCTTCTCAGAGGCTCCTGCCCAACTCACCCTCCCTTTCCCAGTTCTGTCTGGATAAATTGCTCTGATCAGTGGCCTGGATGTTTGAATTCCTCCTTCTCTCGGCTCTGTCTCAGCGGCTGAGTTCCTAAGCCCCTGCGGCACCTAGGGGTTCTCCCAATGCCTCTGGCTGTCTCAGTTTCCCCATCTGGTCGGTGCCATGACTCCCATTTTGCAATGTGATGTACTCTGGGATCTAGGGAGGAAATGTGCTAAACAAGAGCTAGGTATTATTATGAGCCATCTGCTCCAGGGTCCTTACTCTAACAGTCTTAGACAGTGCAAAAGAGCAGACACAAAGTCCTCTTAAAAACACCTGGCTAATGTGCAAAGTTTCTTCCAGGGTCCAAGCATATTGGTCAGCTTATGTCTTGTCATGCACCTCTATTAGTGCACTAAGTCAGTCGTGGCAGGCCGGGTATCGGTGTGCCCAGGACACAAGGATCCAGTAGGCACCTGCAGCCCGGCATGCCAGGTCCTTAGACTACATTGCACTGATAAGCTCTGCCTCTCTTTGCCACCTCTGGGTGCTGTTGCATGGCCCCTTTCTCTTATGTGAGCACACAGGGTGACTGGAAGTTTCCTCTCTACCTGTACTACACTCTTTAACTGCTGCATTTATTAACGATGATGATTCCTCTCTTCTGTGAAGTAAACGGACCCAATCTGTATCATCTCAGATTGTATTAAAGGTATTCCAGGCCCCTACATAGTCTCATTGCCCAATTTTGAACCTCGCCAAAAAAATGCTTTTTTTCCCGTGGCAATCAGAGCTGCACAGAAGGAAGCACAGTGGGGGTTTCTATTGTGCCATTGTGCCATTATATCCCTCTCTGCCCCCCTTCTTCTGGACCTTAAAATGTTTGCTTTTTTTTTTTTAAAACCTCTGCTACTCATTGAGTGAAGGCCCTCATCGGGCTGCCCAAAACAACACTGAGGTCTTTTTCCATAGGCAATGCAGTTCATTTAGATCCCAGTGTGAGGAGCACATATTATTCCCTCCAAAGTAAACTCCAAACTTTGCTTTTGTCGACATTGCATTTGAACTGCTACAGCGCTGGCCATTGGCTTGGCTTGGTTAAATTAATTTTTCAGCAGGTCCTCACCAGCACCCACTGGGACGAGTGTCTAGACTTCAATGCAGAAATCGGCAGTGGTGTGAGACCAGAGTTAAGACAGCCCCAATCATTTTTGCTATAATCACAATAAGTCTTTTGACACAGCACCGTGCCTTGTCCGTGCTGTCCTGTGAGTGGAAGTTTCAAGCCACCCAAGGAATGTGGATCTCCATTTCCCATAAGAAATGAATAAATGTGGAGAGTGGCTCTAGCTTCCAAACCTCATTGCATCAGGGCTGCACAGAGCAGTGCCTGGAGCCGATGGAAACGAGCAGCAAGGAGTCAGCACGGCTCAGAGGGATGGCCATCGACTGCAAGAAAGGGACCGTTATGGGAAATTCTTCATAACGGAGACATATGGGTGGCCTCAAGTAGGGACATGCAGACTCCAAAGATAGATTGATGCCATCTACTGGCGATTGAAAATAATGGTCAATAAATCCGCGAGGTCTGTGAGCAGTTGTGCAGTGCAGATGACTTCCAGATTACATTGATTCTGACAGGGCCTGGGGAAGAGTGTAAAGGGACAAGGAGCAACCAGGAGGGCAGGACAGAGCTGGGAAAGGCTTAGGTTTGACAAGATCTATGCTGCAAAGATAACGCTGAAACTAGGGCTGTGTGAGCAGCTCTGACCATATTTCTCCAGGAACACAGGACCCGGGTCTGGAAGGGGTCTCTTGGGTCACCGAGGCCCGTGCTGTGCTTATCAGGTCTGATCCCCCCCTGGCCACCATGACCTTCCTCTTCCCTTGACTGCAAGCCAGTGAGTCCTCCCCCCTTCCTCACAACCGGCAGGCAAAGGATATGAGGGACCGGCTCATTTTGCTAGCAGAGTTACCCTGGGGCAGGATTCAGCCTGGTGTCACTATCGTGGTGACGCTTGGCTAGCACTTTATCAGTGACATCAGGCAGATTTGGGAGGTGCCCTGTGATTTTACCCTCCCCTGCCTGAGAAGATGCAGAAATCAAAGGAAACCAATGTAGCTACACAGCAAGTCTCATCTCTCACTTTCTTGCAGGGGGATGCCCTTGAACAAGCCATCATAAGCCAGGCCCCGCAGGTAGAGAAACTCATTGCTACCACTGCCCATGAAAGCATGGCCTGGTACCACGGCAACGTCTCCCGGGAGGAAGCTGAGCGCAGGCTCTACTCTGGGGCACAGCCTGATGGGAAATTCCTGTGAGTACCCAAATCACTGGGAGATGCTGCATGCCACGCTCTTGTGACTGCTCCCCCTTCCTGGCAGGGTATAGAGCTGGGGACCATCAGTGTGCAGCTGAATCCAGGGGATCTTGCAGTCCCCCAAGCAAATTCACATGTAGATGTTTGAAGAGGCGAAGGAAAGGAATGAACCTGGTGGGGCTCGGGCAGCAAAGCAGTAAAAACCCATCACCACTCGGCGTGTGTGCATCCAGGAAGAAATGAATGCACTTGGCCACTGTGGAGTTTGCATAGGGAATATCAGGAAAGACCCAGGGTTAGTGAGGCGTACTGAGGCTGTGCATGGGGCACTCCAGCTTCCTATGGATGCCTTGGGATCTGTGCACTCACAGGGAACAGGAGAGCCCTGGCGTTTGGAGACCAGCTGGGAGGGTGATGTTCAGGGTGCCCCAAATGTTGAGAGCTCCCCCGTGGCATAACTGGAGGGGGAATGATAGAGGCAAGAGCTCTGGGTGCTGAACTGGAGGGGGGAGCATGAAAAAAAGCAGTTGCCTGCAGCAGCCATGCATTCACGATAGCAGCAGCAACCAGAAGGCACTGTATTACTCTTTGCCCCAGATGCCTGGCCATGTCCCTCCACTGCTGGGGCTCCCCAGTTGCAGCCTCCCAGTGCAGAAGCCCTGCGGTTTCACAGGGTGAGCCCCAAAGCCAGCTACTAATAAGCCCCCACCTTCTCACACAGGCTGCGACAAAGGAAAGAAAACGGCACCTACGCTTTGTCCCTTGTCTATGGGAAAACGGTGTACCACTACCGCATCGATCAGGACAAGTCCGGCAAGTACTCCATCCCCGAGGGAACCAAGTTTGACACGCTCTGGCAGGTAAGGTGCTGTGGGACACTCTCTGCAGCTGGCACCCCTTTCAAGAGAGGGAGAAATTCTCCTGCCATACGCACCTCTAGAGGGCAGGAAACTTTTGCCTGAGTTTTAGGAGCTGGAGAGGGAGGCTCCATCTAGAGATATCAGTAGCCCCATCATAGTGCTCAGTTGCCTAGCTGGCAGTCAGGCCTCTGCAATAACACTAGTACCAGATACTAGACTAGGGGTCAGCAACCCCTGGCATGCTTGCCCAGCATGGCCATTTTGCTTGGCACACTACTGCCAGCCTGGGCTCCAAGCAGCTGCTGCCAGCCCCAGAGCCCAGGCTGCTCCCAGCAGGCAGCTAGGAGGCTGCAAGCCCCGCTGCAAGCAGACTGGCCTCTCGGTGCAGCCGGGAGGCTGCAAACAGCTGCTCCAGGCTCCGGCTTGCCGGCACTCTGGCACCCTCCAAGGTGGATGTGGTAGGTTTTTTCAGCACTCCAGCCAAAACACATTGCCTACCCCCCGTACTAGACAGATACCAGCCTTTCTGAAATAGTCCTAGCCTCATGATGCCCCCTGCACCTCTCACTGAAAGGCCCCATTGCCATATCTTTCTATGGAGGTCCTTTGGGACAGTGCCCTTGATTTCCAACATCCTTGTCACTGTGATTCCAAGGCGGGGAGTCTTGAGATGGCCCCCTAAACTAAAATGGAGTTGTCCCCAAACGTCTGTTTTCAGAGAGATGAATGAGGTGCAGGGGAAAGGAAGGGAGATGGAGGGTGGAGCACTGACTCGGGACCCTTGGCTTATGCCCCTGCTCTGCCTTCTCCCACCTGATTACGGATGACCACAGGAGACTGGAGCCTTGGGTCTGGGTCTCCCGTGTTTCAGGGCAGTGCCCCCAACCCCAGGCTCCATCTCTTGGCCTTTTGTAGGACCGTCAAACCTCTGCAAATCGTTCCCGCTTTGACGCGGCCAAAAGGCATCAAGGGCATTTTGACCCTCTCCACCCGTCTGTGGGAAAGAGCTACCATAAGCCACAGATGTTGCCCATAAGGCAAGAAGGCAGTTTTCCTCCGTACACTAATTTCCTTTCCTTCTGATTCCTGCCCCAGCTCGTGGAGTACTTGAAACTCAAAGCAGATGGACTGATATATAACCTGAAGGAATGCTGCCCTAATCCCAGCACCCCAACAGGTGGGTTGATTCTTCCGGCCAGAAGGGCAGAAACAACCTGCTTTGGTCACTGCCCTGACACCTAAACTCTCCAGAAGCACTGCGGTTTATCTCAGCCCAGGGGTTAAGAGTTAATGCTCCTGCGAGGCTCAGTCCGGAGCCCTGTTCATGGCACCTCATTGCTTTTCATGGGCTGGGGTCGTCCTGTCCCTGCTCTGCCGTTGGACAGAGGATCCTGCGCCCCTGGTGAGCCGGCATCTTTCATGAGCTCTAGGGGCTGCGCCTCATTCTCATTGACATTAACTTTCCCCTAACAACTAATTGCATCTGCATCCACTTAAAGGCCCCCATGAGGCCAGCGGTGTGGAGGGGGCCTTGTGGGGGCGCGAGGATGCAAGCCCCAGTATTTTTCCAGATACTCCTGTTGTATTACCCAGCCCAGCCCAGATAGAGAGCTAACAATAGCATCCCTTTCCTGACTTCCAGGCACTGTAGCACCGGTCCTACCAGCCCACCCCTCCATGACCGTAAGTATTGGGTCTATTTTTTCCAAGTGCTTTTGAATGTTGTTACCTTTCGGGCCTTGCGAGTAAAACCTGCCCTTCCCTGAACTAAGAATCTGGAACGGGTTTCCAAGGGAGGTGGCTCTCCCCAACCTTGGGGGTCTTCAAGAGGAGACTGGACAAGCACATGGCCGGGGTCACCTGACCCCAGCACTTTTTCCTGCCATGGGAAGGGGGTCGGACTCGATGACCCCTTGAGGTCCCTTCTGACCCTAGCATCTATGAATTCCCAGATTACGGGCCCATAGAGACAATGCTTTCACCCTCAGAAAGCCACAGAAATCCCGGGAAGTCCCTGGTCCTTGCTGAGACATCAGGGCATTTTGGAAGGTCCCAGGGCCCTTCCATGAGTGACCCTACTGTTTCCCTGCATCACCTTACATACTTTATCACTATTTCTCTGCCAGGTCCAGAGGCAGTTTTCAAGCCTCAATGCAGATGGATACACACCAGAGCCCATAGGTGAGCACCCCTGCACAGGCCTGTCTTTCTCTGCATACAGAGTGGGAGCGGGGTGGGCACTTTACAGGGCCCTTGCTGGATGCAAGCTGGTGATGCTGCGTTCCATGCACTGGCATATGGCATAGGCTGCCTAGAAATCAGGGCTCGTGGACAGAGGTGCTATCTTTTATGAGACCAACAAGATTTTTGCAGAAAAAAAAATTAATTGCAAGCTTTCTCCTGGGTAGAAATGAAAGTTCACATTTCACAGGATTTGACAGAGGGCTCAATAGATGGAAACACCCTCTGGGCAGAGTCTCAGCTCTCCTGTGAGGCTGTGATGATGCAAATTACCTTAGACAAGGGCAGGAGCAAGATCTCAGGTTTCAGGTGGTCAAAGTTGTTGCCTGCTTGGGAAAATATGAAGATCGCGTTTAAAAAAAATGAGCTAAAATTCGGTATCTTCCATGTGTCAGGTATCCAGGTTGTAGCTGTATTGGTCTAGAGGAAAAATCAATCAGGGCTCGTGGATAGAGGTGATATCTTTTATTAGGCCAACAAGACTTTTGCAAAAAAAAAATCTTTAATTGCAACCTTTTGGGCACAAGTAGGCTGCCAGCACACTATTGCCACCTTTGGGTCAAAGAGAAATATTACAAGGCTTATTTCTCACCCTGGCACCTGTATCTGATGTACAAAGGTCCCATTTGCTCCACGGGTCTCCGTATCACTTGCAATAATAGTTTTAAGCTATTTAAAGGCTATTTAAAATCCAGAAGTAAATCAAGCCTGGCCCATTCCCCCTCTGCAGCACTGCCAATAGGCCCAACCATGCAAACACTTTGGCATGTTATATGTAGGCTGCAATGGGACTGCCATGAGGGAAGCCATGCACATTATTTAATGTTGCAGACCCAGGGCCTGTGGCAATGGGATCATCCCGGAAGACAGCACAGGCTTGAAAATGAAGGGAGATGTCCAGGTGGGAAGGCCAGAAAATGGAAGAGAAAGGATGGGGTGGGCGGCTCAAAGACCTCACTAGAGGAAGGCAAGCTTCTTTGGGTAAATCTGATATCTTTTATTAGATCAACTAAAATAGTTGGAAACATTTTGTGGGGTACAAGCACCCTTCGTCCGGCTGAGGAATTGTCCTCAGCCTGATGAAGGCTATTTGTACCCGAAAGCTTGCAACGAGGAATTTTTTACTCTTAGTCGGTGGATTTACCCAAAGAGCCATGCCTGCTTACATCATTAGACCACAGTGGCTACAACCTATACCCCATCCCCAGAGGGAGGGAGGGAACAAACGGGCGGTGAGCAACCTGATCTTCTTCCCTTGTGGAAGGCGCTGGGAAATCACGCGTCCTGCCCATGGACACCAGCGTCTACGAGAGTCCCTACAGTGACCCCGAGGACCTGAAGGACAAGAAGCTGTTCCTGAAGAGGGACCACCTGATGATTGATGAAGTGGAGCTGGGGTCAGGAAACTTCGGCTGTGTCAAGAAGGGAGTTTACAAAATGCGGAAGTAAGTGCCTCGAGATCCGCAGTGATGCTGTGCAAAGGCACTGCGGGGAGAGGCTGACTGCTCCAGCTCCTCTAATCTGCTTTTCTCAGCTGGCGTCATCTTCTCTTTAGCTCTTCTCCCTGTCTCACTGCCCTCTACTCTAGTTCCCCAAAGGCTTTGCTTCCCCTTTTGGAGCAGCCCTGGAAGATCATTATTACATAGGGCTCGGCCTCCTGAGCGGCCAAGCTGCAACAGGATAGGATCCAGCAGATCAGCTGCTTGCTTAACTCACTCTCCGTGTGTGCTCCTGCTCTTGTCCCTGGCTAGGAAGCAGATTGACGTGGCCATCAAAGTCCTCAAGAGCAACAATGAGAGAGCTGTGAAGGATGAAATGATGAAGGAGGCAGAGATCATGCACCAGCTGGACAACCCATATATCGTCCGCATGATCGGGGTCTGTGAGGCGGAGTCCCTGATGCTGATTATGGAGATGGCCTCGGGTGGGCCACTCAACAAGTACCTGTCTTCCAAGAAGTGAGTGTTTCCGGGGGTCGTGGATAAAGCAGAACTCTCCGATTCTTCTTCCTGTCCAGGCACACTGTTGAAAAACTCAAAGTAACTCAAGGGTCCTGGCTTTGCAGGTGGAGGGATATGGGAAATAGTCCCTATAAAACCCTCTGAAACATTCCTGGACTATATTGTCTCTAGCATGCACTGGTACTGAATTTATGCATGCTGTGGTGTGAGACAAAGGGCCCACATTTGGGCCTTGCCTCTCCAGAGTAATGCAGACATCCAAGACTCATGCTCTATTTATGAGTTTGTGGGCATTAAAGTGCATTAAAGTGCTGTTTCTAATGTGCATTAAATGTAGTACCTCCAAGGTGAGTTACTAAAGGTTTGCATTAATGCACAGTAACAAATGTGCATGGTTTTTAAGTGACAATGCGCAATAGCCTATTTTTTACATCACGCTTTTTTACATGGCGCTTTAGTGTGCAATACAATAGGCTACTGCACATTAAAGTGCATGTGTAGATGCACCCTGTTTATCGATCAGCTGTTCTCATCTAGTCTAATCTAAATGCAAATAATATTGAAGAAACTACCACAGCCAGAACTCTTCGGGTGGGCTCTTCTCTCAAGAGCCAACATCCTCTGCAGCTAACCAGTTTCTCAGGTCCCCAGCATAGGGATAGCATGAGCTGACAATATAGCTGTGTTCCACCATGAAGGTAAAAGGATCATCTTATCCTAGGGACCACTTGTAAGAAAGGTGAAGGATTTCTTGGCTGGAAAGGTGTAAGAAAGGTGAAGGATTTCTATTGTCTCTAACCAAACTATTTTCTATATTGATAATAGCAAATGAAAATTCTCTTTTAGAGGGGATGAGGCTTCTGGAGCAGGAGAGTCCAAATGATCTGCTCACTGCAGCTGTGACTTTCCAAACGGCCGGGCTTCCAGTGTACTGACAGCTCCTATTAGTCTGTGGATTTGTTACCCTGCAGTTCCCTTTTCCTTCCCAGAGATGAGATTCCAGTGAGCAACATTGTGGAGCTGATGCACCAGGTGGCCATCGGGATGAAGTATCTGGAGGAGAAAAATTTTGTCCACAGAGACCTGGCAGCCAGAAATGTCCTGCTAGTCAACCAGCACTATGCCAAGATCAGTGATTTTGGACTCTCCAAGGCTTTGGGTGCTGATGACAGCTACTACAAGGTGAGTTGAAGCGTGGCAGAGGACTGCTGAAAGGGGCATGTCTACAGCCACCCCAGCAGGAGTCCATGCCTTTACCCCCATTTCTTAATAGGAGTTATGCATGCATCTTGCACACATGCCATTAAACCCAATGACCTATGACCTTTCTAGTCTTGTGCTGAGATGCAGGGTAGCACATCAAGATCCTTCCCAGGCCGCCTGCCGTGTGACTACACTAAATTTTTGCACGGTCAGGAGTTGGGTGCATGATGGTTTGGCAGACAGACTGGAAGACACAGTCCCTGTCTCAAGGGACCAGTTTAATATAGACAGGCATAATGCTGCACAATGGAAGTAGAGGAGCTGGAAATGCAACCGGGCAAAGAGAACAAGGCAGCAAAGAGAGGCAACAATGGGGTGTGATAAGGTGGAGTAGCAGGAGACGAAGATTATTTATGGCAGCCAGTTAGAGATATGAGAGTAGGAAGGGAAGAATCGGGCAAGACAGGCAGCAGAGGGGTGAAGGAGAGGTGGCAAATCAATCGCATGCTCTGTGGGCCGTGACCATCCTTTTGTTCCCTGTTTGCACCACGCCTCGTGCAACAGGGCCTTGATCCCGATCCACGGGGAGGCAAGGCACTACCGAGATAGAGACGGCAAACACTGTAATGGTAATTGCCAAAGCACGAGGCAGGATTGCCACCAGAGGACGCCCTTGGCTCAGCGATGTCCCCAAACGGGAGCTGGTAGAAAGGCAGGGCTCCTGCTCCGTGGGAAACGTGTTGGTGTCTGACCTGCTCTTCTCACAGACATACCATGCTTGTTCAGACCCGGGCTTTCGATCTCTCCATCGATGGAGAAACAATTCGTGTTTGGAACAGCACGTCTTCCCCCCCCGTCCTCCGCCAACCTGCAAGTGCCTGGGTCGTAGGGCCACACATGGTCCTTGAATGACGCCCGGATTTGGAATCGATTTGGCTGATTTGGCTTGGAACAGGAAACATTTCCCTTAAAAAAAAAAAAAATGTGTACAGCAAACTGGATCTGTGGCCAGGCACAGGGCATTACAATGCTTATCCAGCTGTCCCAAAGTAAGAGGTCCCCTCCTTTCTTTGTCACTCTGCTGCAGGCCAGGACAGCTGGAAAGTGGCCGCTGAAATGGTATGCACCAGAATGTATCCTCTACCACAAATTTTCCAGCAAGAGTGATGTGTGGAGTTACGGCGTGACCATGTGGGAGGCTTTCAGCTACGGGCAGAAACCATACAAGGTAAGCAAGGCAAAGACTTTCAGTTGAGTCACAAGCATCAGGGCCACGCTCTTTCCTCTCAGTAGAGCTGTGCATCCACACCAACCGCATGTCCTAACCACATCTGTCACTGCATGCTGGGAAGGGCCAGGTATGGTTATTCCCAGTATGGTGCTGGAATACCCAGAGGACAAGCATGCACAAGCCATGTAAACAGTACCTGAGACAAGTAGCAAGTAGCCAGCCAAAGTATTAGTTACCCAAGTAGAGCTCAGTGAATAGTTTACTTGCTGAAGAAATGTGATTTTGGTTTCCTGGAAGCTGTGCATGACTTGAGGCTGAAGCCACTGAAGAATTGAAGAAATATGATTCATAAAATAAGCAAGGTCAAGCTGGTTTCCCTGCACTGGTCAGTAGCCCTATGGGTAAGGCACTCACCCAGGATGTGGGCTGGGTGACCTCTTCTGTCCCCCCGCATCCTCCACCTCCTAGCCTGCGTCCTCACCACCAGGCTTGAGGGGACTTTTGCACAGGTGGCTCTCAGGCTCTCCTGTTGATGTTGCTCAGCCTGCCCGTCACATGAGTGCCCACACGGATGGGGTCAGATCCACAGTCAAACAGTCCCAAAATGGGGGGTGTCCAGGTCTGTGCTACTGGTTCCTCCATTAGAAAGAGGAGAAAGCTCATAAATGGGGCGTGCGCTCAGGTTTGGAAGGCCCCCCTGCCCCACACCTGCGATGCAGGAGCATCCTCTCTCTGCTGCTATGAATATTTAATCATTTATGCAATGGAGCGGCATCAACAGGAGAGACGGAGGAAGGCCCACTCCAGAAGAGTCGTAGCCCAAGTGGTAGGAGCACCTGGATGGGGCGCGAGTGAATGTATCCTGGTTCTGCTCTCGATCAGACAGAGAGCGGCTTCGAACATGAGGCTCCTGGGGGGGTGCCCTAACCACTGGCCGGCTGAAGACTCCTCCCCAATTGAGATGCTCATCCGAACATTTGGCGAAACCGTTTTTATCACTTGATTTCAGAGAAGAAACCAACAAAACATGGATCTGGGTTTCTTTGATTTCTCGTTCCATCTGCCAACTAGAAAAAAAAACAGGTGTTCACAAAGTGCTGGAAGCTGGGCAGGGCAGTCCAGCACGTATACCATATATGTATGGTATACCATATATGTATACCGGCATGTATACCATAGCCACTGCTTTTACTCAGTTACAGACAATTCCTCATGTGAGTTATTCTAATTTGCCTCCTTTCAGCCTGCCTGCCAGCTTGGGGGGCAGGGTCATTAATCTGCTTGATGGTCTTCCTGCAGAAAATGAAAGGCCCAGAGGTGATGAGCTTCATTGAGCAGGGGAAGCGCATGGAGAGCCCAGCAGATTGCCCACCGGAGATGTACTCACTGATGCAGCAGTGCTGGACCTTCAAGTAAGGCTTTCCTAGCTCACCTCCCTGCCGGGTCTCATCAGTCACGGGGTATGGCAGCACAAAGCAGTAGAGGCTTCTTGATTTCACAGCGTCTCATGAGGGATACCCCTTCGAGAGACTAACCTCTCTGCACGATCCCTGGGACTTCTCGAGCAATTCAAAGGAAACCCCCTGGGCCAACCTGGGTCCTTTTGAGAGGTTCACAGCTGTAGCCAAAGCAGTCGGTGCCTTCCCATGACTCCCCCAGAGCTGAACTTTGCAGCCTGGGCCCGTCCCTCAGTGCCATGCACCTGGTAACAGGAGGCAGAGCCTCAGAGGAGGCCACCGCAGGGCACGCAGGGACACAAAGCCATTTGCTCAGTGACCAAAGTGGTTGTCTCTACCCAGCTCCCATTAGATACCTTAAAACCACCAGCACAACTGGTGCAGTCCCAGCTGGGTGTCCAGCAAGTCAGTGGACCAAAGGCACTGACCCACCTCCGGGGTGACGCGAGGACCTCTTGACACATCTGGCAGGTCCCCCCATGCACCCTCCACACCTGCGCTGCGGGTCTGTCCTCTGCTGTTGGCTTTGGTCTAGACCTTTGTGCCAATCTTTGGTGCCTCCTTGTTCTTCCAGGTGGGAAGATCGCCCAGGGTTTGTGACTGTCGAAACCCTAATCCGTTCCTACTACTACAGCATCGCCGCCAAGACGGAAAAAGGGCCCAACCTGGAAGACAAGACATGCGCAGCCTTCCCTTGAGCCTCCTCCCTCTGCCCCTCAGCACGTGCTCCCTCTTGTACTGGTCTTTCTGGATGGGCGCTGGAGCTACTGGTTTGTTTCTCTCACTGATTCTTTGGAAATTCTCCAGCCGGCTGCGATGTCATGGGACACAAGACCCTCAAGGGAACTCAAACACAGCTCGCATCTTAGGCCACAAACAGCAGCCGGGATTGACAGGCTGGCACGTTTGAGGGACGGCACAGAACAGTGTTGCAGCCGGGTCCTACAAGCTGCCAGACCGCCCCCGTCTTGGCACTTTGCCCCGCAGCATCCTTCCCAAGGGTCCGCCATGCTGGCTCCCAGCTCTGCAGCACGTCAGATGTCTCCAAGCTTCCCCGGGGAAAGCTTTGCATCTGATGGGCAGCTAAGTTCGCCCTCCCAGGAAGCAGCTGGCATACAGCACCCCGCTCGCTGCCCTGGTTCCCAAGGGCGCAGGGCTGGGCACGCTGGGCACCTTTCCCCTTGCACACCTGCTTGTGCTGGTGATGCTTTGGGGAATGCACGCCATACCCTGGCGGGGAGGACAGCGGTGGCTGCTCTAGTGCATGCCTCCCAGCACTGCAAGGGGCATGCTGCTTGCTGCAGCCCTCTGGAAGGAAATGCTCTGCTGTGACTGGCCATGGCATCGCTCACCAAACCCATGAACTTCTGTGCACCAGCTAAGCTGCAAGCCCCTAGCCCCCTTTGCTCACCTCCTGGGTCCCTCCTGGAATTGCCCTGCGCCCTCGCACCCTGTCCTGGGCCGGGCACCTCTCTCTGTGGTTGAAAAATCCATTGACCCTACAAATAAACCAGTCTTATTTTGTTACTGCACACATCTCTCAGACTATTAAGGCCCGCTCCTCCCATGCAGGCATTTCAGCATCTCGTTGCTTCGCTTCAAATGCTCCTATTAGTGTCTCACTCCTACGGCCCGTGGGCTGTGTCTCCGGCAGGGTCCCACGGCCCTTTCGACCCTTAAGTCTGTCTGGCTCCATTCGTGCTTCGGGAAACAGTGAAACAGGAAAAAACAGTCCCGCTTTCCACTCCCCATAGCAGGGTCTGAAGTGCCCCAGGCAGAGGTGCAAGTCCCCCCGGCTGGAGGGGCTGGGCTTAGGGTGAGAAACTCTGCTGCGCTAACCACAGCCCCTCTGCAGGGCACTTCAGGAAATGGTTGAAATGGTGCCAGCATCCTCACCAAACAGGAGAGAGCTTGATGGTGTGAAAAGGAGGCAGAAACACCAGCCTGCTCTTATACGTACCCCCACCCCTCCCCTTGGCCCCCCCAGGCTGGCAAGAGAGTTGAAAAGGCAACGGCGAGACCTTGCCCTGTCCCGGGAGTACAGTTTGCTATGCAGACAGGCAAGCGATGGAGGTGTGCGCTCATGCAGAGTGAGCGTAGGGGGCTGGCGGAGCGAAGGAAGCAGAGATCTGCGATACAGTGTAAAGGGAAGCTTATCTCTCACCATCTCCTGGCACCCGCCAGGCGAGCAGTAGCTCGCGCAGTTTGCTCTGTCCAGGTGGGGAGAACAGCAGCTACAGCCTACCCAGGGCACGGCTTTCGTCTGAGACCCTGACCAGAGGCGGGTCTGCTCAGAAGGCCGCTGTTCCAGGGACATCCTCGGTTAAAAAATCAACCTCACGGGATCCCCAAGCATTTACCAGGTCAGGAGGAGGCTGTGTGCACCGAGCGTTCCCCTGGCCTTGCTTGCAGCAGTACTTACAAGTGATGCCCCTTCTTTCTCACAGCCCACACATTAGCTCTCACAACACCCTTGGGAAATAGGGAGCTGTTACCCTACAGAAGGGTAAACTGAGGCAGCGAGCGAGGAAATGACTTCCACAGCCCTGTGTTAGGGCTCAGTGGCAGAGGTGGGCATTGAACCCACGTGGCCCAACCACCCACTTCTCTTAGCTTCTAGACCAGTGGTTTTCAACCTGGGGGTCCGCAGACTATGTCTAAGGGGTCTGCGGAAGATGACTGAGATCAATCACAAGTCTGCGAATACCCACATGAACAATTCAAAGGGGTCTGCACCTCCACTCAAAATTTTTTAGAGGTCCGCAAATGAAAAAAAGCTTGACAGCCACTGGTCTAGACCGTACTTCGCCCCCATCCTGGATAAAGTCCTGACTCCTAGTCCCGTAGCCACTAAACTCACAACCTCCCCATTTGGACAGACCATTCCCTGCATCAGCTGGTTAGGGATTTTGCAAAAGTTTTCCACTGGAAAAAGCCAGTTCATCAAAACTGAAACTTTACAGGAAAGAGTCAGTCCCTATGCATCTTTTGACTTAAATATATGTGGGGGGGAAAAGTTTTGACATTGTCCAACCATTTTGCTTTAACGTTTTTGGGCAGACGTGCCAGGTTTCCAGTGCAGCATCACTCCTCAATATGAATTTTACGCTCTGTGTGGCAAACATGTAAAGAAGGCTCGAAACGGTTTGTGTGGATTTCAAAGGTTTTGACACCAAAATGATGGGACTGGCTCAAACTAGAAGTGGACTTTGAATTTTCAGTTTGTGACTGTTTTTGAGCCTTCAGTTCGCCCTGATTTGGGACAGGACAATTTTTCAATATTGCAAAAACCGTCCTAGGATGAGAAAGCCATGTCCTGCTCTTGTCTTAACCTTACAGCCATGAATTATTTGGTGTGTGTTATAGGAGTGAAAGCCATTGACATTTTAAGGCACAATTATCTATCTTATTACCCCAGCCTAGGGCATCTACGATGATCACGCCCACTGCAGAGTCTCGATATTTCATCCCCTAATGAACAAAAGGCCCTGTGTCTTCTTCCTGTTCCATCAGCTTAAGAGCTATGGCTCAAGCCTGTTTGGAAATATGCCCCCCTCTACATTGGGCAAGTGCCCCATGATGAATCAGGTTTGTTGGGGCACCTGAGATGCTGTGCAAGGGACATCTCTGGAGATGGCTGTGGGGACAACCAAGACAGGACCTTGATGGTACTTCACAGTGGGGAGTCCAGGAGAGACGACCTGTCGCTGGGAATGGGTGGCCACTAAAGCACGGGGATGTGGGCCCGGCTTGTACTGAAGAGTAGCACCAGGGTTGGGGCCGCTGGCTTAACCTCTGAAAATAGCTGCAAGTGTGAACATACACACTTAAACGGTGGAAGCAAAAAGTGACTCAAAGGCGAGGTGGGGGACACCGCCCCCCTTGAGCTCCCAAGTCAAGAGAGCCAGCAAATGCCGAGCTGCCCTTTGCACCAGGCTCCGGCTCCCCTGGGGGCTTCACCAAATGTCAGATGTTGTTGTGGGGGGAAGGAGGGAAGCGAGCAACGAGGACCTGATGTCACGGGGCCTCGTGACTCACTTTTCCAGGTCCGCGTGTCACTTGTCAGTCTGCTTCCTTAGCAGTGTCCCCAGCCCCTGCTCCATCCTCACTGCCTGGCGGCTCAAATGATGAAGCACTGGCTGCTGAGTCAACTCTGATCTCTCAGAAATGGCCTGGAGTCTGACTGAGCAAAGAATAAAAATGGAGCCCAGGCGAGAGAAAGACATCAGGACTTGGCCCCGTGTGTCTGATACACTCTCTGCTCCCTCCGTTGCCGTGAAGCTCTCCCAAGCCCTGGAGCGGTAGGTGCTCAGATAGATTATAGTCACTGTCTAGTTAGTGATCAGATCATCTCGCATCCACCAAAGGCTGATGCGTAACCGGCACGAACAGGAGGAGCATTTCTGCCTTCTTGCAGGGGGTTGCACTTGCTGACCCCACAGGCCCCCTCCTGTGAGCCTAAGGGGAGGATGGGAGAGAGCAGACGGGCGCATAGCAAATCTGGGGCAGAGCCGTGCACAGAGCCCAGGAGTCCTGCCTGCCCTGCCTGCCGAACCAAGCAGACTTCATTGCACGACTGAGCTGGTACAGTATGAAAGGAGGTACAGTAAGAGAGAGGCAGCTCCTGCGAATGTGCACACAATGTCAGGGAGGGTGGCTATTTTTGTCTCTGTGCGCCAGCCGGCAGAGTCAGCAGCGGTGGTTTCAGCAGCTTGCCCAACACGCACTTGTTTAAAGCCTGTGGCCTCATGTGATCAGCTCTGGTCAGTGTAACGTGTCGCTGCATTTTATTTTTGGATGCTAACCGGGCTCCAAGCGGGTGGTGTTTCCACTGCCAATGGAGCAGCCCTCTGAGGCTCCTGCTCTGATAAGATGACAGATTCGGGTCCTGGCCTGCAAAGGGCACTGCAAAAGCTGGCCAGGAGGCTTGTGGATACTGAGAAATTTGGCAGTCAATCGAAGGTCCGGTTAACATCCTGCCCTCCTGCTTCCCGGCATCGCCCACCCTCCCTCCCGGAGTTGCTCTCACTCCCGTTCATTCCCTCAGGCTCGTGTCTTCCTGGCATGCCCTCGCTGCCTGCCAGCCCCTCTGCCATTCTCCCAGGGACATGCCACAAGGGCTGGCATGGCTTGGTGCTGCTTGCCCCTCCACCCGCCAGGCACGGCTAACGTGAACCTAGCTGTGGCCAAGGGAAGTCTTGTGTCCGGGACTTACAGAAGCAGGCAGAGAAGTCTTCCCATTTCCTCCCTGCTTTCAGTGATCCCTTCCCCAGGGCCGTCTGCACCTTGTATGATGAAGCCAAGCTGCAGTTTCTCCAGAATGAAACCCGAGTGACACCCACTATCGATTCAGCTGCTGAGATATTGGTATTACTCACAGGCTTCTAAGAAACTTCTCAGGAAGATCATTTGTATTCCCCCCACATACCTTCCTATCTGCAAGGAGCACACTCTGCTCGGGTTAATTCAGCCACGCACAATACAGTGAAACACAAGAGGAACAAACACATCCAACACCTGCGCCTTTTGCAGGACCCTGTGCTCCGCGGTCTGCACGGCCCAGCGGGCCCCAGTGTGGGGCTAAAGGACAAGGAGCATTGCGCTGCTTTGAATCTGAGTTAGGGTCGCTGGCCTGAAAAAGAATATATACTTCTGGGGCTCGGCTGAAGGTGGACTCTGCCGCAAGGATTAGGATAGAATCAACTTTTTTCATTTGCAGACCCCTAAACACTTTCAAATGGAGGTGCAGACCCCTCTGGCAACTTCAAATGGAGGTGCGGACCCCTTTGAATGGTAAGGTGGGTATTAGCAGATTTTTGATTGATCCTAGTCATCTTTCGCGGACCGCTTAGATGCAGTCTGTGGACCCCCAGGGGTCCACAGGCCACAGGTTGAAAGCCACTGGGATAGAAAGTCCAGGCTGTGCATCCCTGGGAAAGTCATTTTCCCAGAGTGGTAATAAGGAGATGGATTTGAGCAAGCACTTTATGCTGCCAGCGTGGAACAGATCACGGCTGTAGAGGCAGACAGAATCCTTTGGGGAGCTGGGTGGGAGAAGACTGTATTTTCTGGACTATTATTACCCACAGAGAAAAGCACATTTCTTTCTATACCGTACATTTACATCTGCAAGCCCTGTTTGACCACTGCAGGGCTGCGGTGACACTTATGCACTTGCATCGAAGCAGCACGGGGCTTCCAGAATGACAGGTTATGTGACAAGCTATAACAGTGCACCAAAATATGCTCTGCATACACATATAGGCATTCAGCACCATTCGGGACAGGGTCCTTCACTTGAAATGCAGGATCAGGATCAATATTTGTTTGGGATACTGGGGGCAGAAGTGTAGGCAAATGGGTGAGAAGACCTGAAGGCAGATCCATAGTTGCCAGAGCCCCATTGCTGGGCTACAAACGTGGGCCTAAATGGTTCAGAGCTCAAATGATGGGTTGCAAGAAGGGGAATCAGTTTTTTTTCAGGCCAGGAGTTGGGGGTTGGTGTATGTGTGTGTATACACACAG